AACGCACGTGCCTACACAAACACGCATATACAGAGTGTCACAAAACACCATGACGGGCTCTACAACTCAGCTATTTAAGCTATTTAATTGATAAATTCTAGCAACCTCTGAGTAGTTGGTTTTGCTTTAAAGGTCTGTTTTCTACAATCAAACATCTTCTTTCCACACCTCTCTGGCAAGATTTACACACAGACACACAGACAGACGCGCCAAAAACGATACCTCCATTTTTCATGGAGGTAAATATCTGTTGGTGCATCGGTTTATGACGCACAGCCCTCTACGGAAATCAACTGAACTAACTGCAGCCGAATTACTCGGGAAGCCTGTTGCATAATACGGCGAATTTATTTACGAACGAGAATACCTTCAAAGTCCAAGACTCACATTCCTGCCCCGATACCAAACATAAGAAGAAAATTTTGTCCAAAAATTAAAAAAGGTTGTAAATTCCTGGTCATTGCCTGTTTTGGTTGAATAAACTTGAAAGTGGATTTTTTTTTCATTCATACGACAAAACTAGACAAAACGTGAAATATTTCTCTTTTTTACACCAAATGGTCGCCGATATATTGCCAGCTTTGCAATTCGCACGTACCAAGATTAGGCTCAGTACAAGGCCCATTCGACCGCCATTTACTGGTCTCATTGTCTGAACTATTCTGACCGTCTTTTTCTTGTTAATCATTATTGGCTACTTATACCTTTTGAGTCATTTGGTTGTAATGTAGCCTTGTTTACGGAAGTAAAAAGGTTAACCTGGCTCATGGACAGCAGCACTTCCACACTGAGTCCCATAGTTAGGCATAGGCGGTGGTCATAGTGACTGTTGCCATAGCAACGTAGGACTGGTGGCTAAACAATCTATAAGCCAAATCCTGATACACTGTGCTGTCGAAAACCGGATGCAGCCCTGTTTTGTGCAGACTTTTTTACAGTAAGGCCACGCCGACTTAATTCTATGGATGACATCCACGCGCGCATTGATTCTTACCTGTTCTTAAAAAAAGAGGTCCTGGCTCTAGGCCTGTGTAGTCCATGGTAGTTATCAAAAATACGGAGCCGGTGGTAACAATGAAGGATGACGAAGTTCTTTAAGTTGAGAACTCAGTACATACCTACGGTGCCGATTCATGAGTTCTACAAAAAAGCCAGCATGTGCCAGTTTGCCGTATACCTCGCAATGTAGTGCCGCAAATTCAGAATACCAGCTTTGTATTCCTGTGGTTTAGTAGCATTTTTATTTTTTGCAGTTTTTTTATTCGCCCGCGCGCACTAGTTTGGGGGTCTTCAGAGGATTTCATCCATGAAATTAGGTTGGTGTGGCCTTAACAAATCTCGGACAGCCATTTTCTTTTTTTTTTCTCTATTTCTCCATCAAACGAATAGGTACATCTTAACGATAATGGCACGATTTCGAAACACCGCAAATGCAGCTTGCAAGGGTTTTACCTTCTACTGTATTCAATTTTACGCGACTCACCATAAAAAAAAAAACCGTCAAAGGAATCATTCTAGCCAAAGAATTTCACATTAACACCTGGGGTCACATCCTTTTTTGTGAGTGTTACTGACAAAACGTAGTGAATGCTGCCAGAAACGTTTGACCGTTTTCAGAACTTTACCAGATGCTTGAGTAACTGGCTCTTGGCGTATCCTGAGCTTCTAACCTTCTCAGACGTAACATAATGCATATGATCGAATACTTGTAACAGCCACCAAGGATTCAAAACACCAGTAATGGAGGTATTCTCTTTTCACGATACTATCTATTGTGTGATTGATGTCGGTCTGCCTTATGTTATTCAGAACAAAATTGTCAAAACATGCAAAAATCAATCATGCGATCGTTTTGGTATTCTCTCTGCATACTGAATAGACACTGTTTATGATTCAATCTATCAGCTGTTTTATTGATATCTCATAGTCGTCAGTAAAGATACTAGTATATATATATATATATACCCCTTTTAGTGCACTAATTGCCTAATTTTTTTAGTTTTGTTGACTTTTATACAGTAGATGCAGGCCTATGTATATATTTGTGTATTCAAGTTAACCTTTGTACCTAACCCAGTGGGTATGTCTGTACAATAAAGGTCTTCATTCATTCATTCATTACACACACGGTGGCCCCCTTCGTTCGTTTATATATCATGTTTACACGTGCTTAACATTTTCACACGAATAAAAATGGGTAAATACTGTAATTCCTGATTTTTTCACTGTACTCTTTTGTTAACTTCATGCACTGTCACGTCTGTACTGTAAACCTATCATTATAGTTAACAAAAATTCCTGGAAATTCTTTTTAGTGCAACTGTCACCACCGTGAATATATGATTCCGCGAACATGTCCATTTTTCTCAGATCGTGGACTTTTGCTACCGTGAACATGAAGTGAATTACAGTATCAAACGTAGATGATCAAATAACTGCCGCCAAGGATTCAAAACACTAGCAATGCAGATATTCTCGATACTATCTATTGTGTGATTGATGTCGGTCTGCCTTGTGTTATTCAGAACAAAATTGCCAAAACATGCAAAAATCAATCATGCGATCGTTTTGTTATTCTTTCTGCATACTGAATAGGCACTGTTGATGATTCTATCTATGAGCTGTTTTATAGACATCTCATAGTCGTCAGTAAAGATATATAGATACCCCTTTTAGTGCACTAACATTTTATTAGTTTTGTTGACTTCTATACAATGGATGCCCATTGCACACACGACGACGCCGTATTTGTGGTATTTTAAAACAGGTTATCCTAATCATTGAGACAGTTTGATGAAGGTAAACATCGCCATATGCAAAAATAGATGTTTACTAAAAATAAGAGAGATGTACGGATGTGATGTAGCAGGCACGTGGGTAGATCAGTAGGCGCAATAAAATTGCTCTGGCAACGGTGACACTGATTGGTGCTGCGATGCTCTCGTGATGTTGCGTCACAAACTGACCAATGGGAGAAGAGTAGAATCAAGGGGCCATAGTGGTAAGTACCTGACACGCTGGCATATTTTGACGTCGTCTCTTGAAGATTCCAGATCTTGTTCTGTCTTAATACTTTTGGGCACCAGGAGCTGACACTTGTTTTCACCGCCGGTACAAAATTTCTACTTGCTTTTAGTATATTCCATTCAAAGAAATTGTTCATCTTCGATATACTGTAGATTGCAAAATTGATGTCAGTTTATCTACCTCTGTAACATTTTATGATGTATTCATCTAAGTTCTCTAAGTCGACAATTGGTATGTTAAAATCATACTCAAAATGATTTCTAAAAATGGGCATTGACGGGCATTTTTCTGTTCTTGAATAGACATTGGAAGTATGGGGTGGACTGTGTTGGTCTGGACTTTTCTGCTCTCCACCTCGATTTATTGGGCAAATGGTGAGTTTTATTCGTTGTTCTTTGCAATAGAATATCCGTCCACGTATGGGGTGAAATGCATCGCGGATTTGTCCCTGGGGCGAATCAAATCTCTAGAGATTTCGACCCAGAGCGGGAGGGGTGCGAGGTGTGAGGCGGGGATCCCATGCGTATTTGTCCGGGGAGAATAGATTGTCATCGATTTCTTCATCGATTTCACCAAACCACTAGGGATCTCGCCCCCGAATGGCGAAATCCCTTTTTTTGGTGGGCGGCGAAATCTTCAGAATGGGGCCGAGTTCACTAGAGATTGCGCCCCCCCCCCCGGACGGGCCAAAATCGAGCTGACGCCCGGGACTCGGCTCAACTTAGGCCGGAAAATAGGTGAAGGTGACTCATGAGAACCGGCCCAGTTTACGCCCGGGAATTAGTCCCCAGTTGACCCAGGGGAATTTGCCTAGTTGACGCCTGGGGATCAAACTGTAGCATGACGCACTGAACTTCACACCCAAGTTATGCTGGGGTCACATTTCCAAGCCGGTGCCCGGCCGGGCTGTTTCGATTAACGAAAAATCAACAATTTTCATAAAGAATATACGTAAATAGTTCCATTGTTGATATTTTTCAACCTTTCTGTGCTTTGTTGCGTTTTATACCATATTTTTCGTTACAAATGACTACCCGGCCGGGCCCCGGGTTGGAAATGTGACCTAAGCATTAGATGTACACGCCGCTTTCTTGGACTTTTCCCGTGTGTTTGATACCATTAATCACAGTCGACTGCTGCTGACTCATAGATGCTTGAGTACCTGGTTTTTGGCGTATCCTGTTACAATCAATAAAAATAAATCGGAGACCTCACATGCAACTCTATGAAATATGTAGACTTTATAATTATGTTTTAGGTATTTCTCTCATTGATTATGGAAATAAAGTCGTAATCACCTACATCTCGTTTAATTTATAAATAATTATGGTTTTCTAAATCAAATTACAATATCTTGCTTCTAATATTCCTATCCTTTGGCAATATTTCAATTTAATATGTCCTCATAAATCATGCCCCAAACGACCTCTTTATTAACGCAATATATGCAAAATTATTTTAACCTTTAAGTAACTTACACATGTCACAGGGTATATAAAATTCCAAACAATGGCCATTAGAAAATATTTATATTAATTATGCAACTTAGGTATTTTTTGGCAAAATTGGTATATGTTGATGCTCCACCTGCTGTATATTACAGTACATACATTACATGTAAGAAAGTTCTACCGTGTTAAACACTGCGATAACAGAATATCCTCTTTTATTATGTAAATTTTCTCAATTTGTTAACTTCATTCAATTATGTACATCTCTCAAAAAGCTAGCTACATTTAGCTAGAAATTTCCCGGCAGTTCCAAAACAAACTGCTAGGGGGAATAAATCCGACACCACTTATTCCTGGCAGTAAAAGCTATGCGTTTCCAAATATTTAGGAGTCTAGGACCATAGCATGTTTAGGACAAAAAAAAAACTGTTCTTCTGTAGTACCAAGGTCAACTGAAGTTATGATGACTACAGATGTGCGGAAACACACACACACACACAGACACACACGTGCGCGCACACACACACAAACACACAGGCACACGCAAAACAATAACTCCATTTTTCAAGGCGGTTATGATTGTAATCTTGGCGTCGTGTGAGGTAGTAGTGGAGTGTTCGGCGTTCAAACGATGGAACCCGGGTTCGATCCCAGGGGCATGTCCGAACCTGGGGTCGCTCGCTGCAAGCATCCCAACCGGAACCAGCACGTCTCCCTCGTGGCCACTGGAAATGACGAATGCTCAAACTGTATGCGTCTTAGATTAAACAAGTCCATGTACATGTACATCTGTATCAGAATGCGAAAAAACGATTTACGGGTGATTCTTTACACATAATTACCTAAATGTCTGACCTTCTCCGACGTAACATAATGCAAATTATACAATAACCGCCGCCAAGGATTCAAAACACCAGTAATGGAGGTATTCTCTTTTCACGATACTATCTTGATATCTATTGCGCGATTGATGTCGGTCTTCCTTGTGTTATTCAGAACAAAATTGTCAAAACATGCAAAAATCAATCATGCGATCGTTTTGTTATTCTCTCCGCATACTGAATAGACACTGTTGATGATTCAATCTATGAGCTGTTTTATTGATATCTCATAGTCGTCAGTAAAGATACTAGTATATATCACATAGATACCCCTTTTAGTGCACTAATTGCCTAATTTTTTTTTTCAGTTTTGTTGACTTTTATACAGTAGATGCAGGCCTATTACACACACGGTGGCCCCCTTCGTTCGTTTATATATCATGTTTACACGTGCTTAACATTTGCACACGAATAAAAATGGGTAAATACTGTAATTCCTGATTTTTTCACTGTACTGTTTTGTTAACTTTATGCACTGTCACGTCTGTACTGTAAACCTATCATTACAGTTAACAAAAATTCCTGGAAATTCTTTTTAGTGCAACTGTCACCACCGTGAATATATGATTCCGCGAACATGTCCATTTTTCTCAGATCGTGGACTTTTGCTACCGTGAATATGAAGTGAATTACAGTATCAAACGTAGATGATCAAATAACTGCCGCCAAGGATGCAAAACAATAGTAATGCAGATATTCTCGATACTATCTATTGTGTGATTGATGTCGGTCTGCCTTGTGTTATTCAGAACAAAATTGTCAAAACATGCAAACATCAATCATGCGATCGTTTTGTTATTCTCTCTGCATACTGAATAGACACTATTGATGATTCTATCTATGAGCTGTTTTATTGATATATCATAGTCGTCCTTATTTTATTACCTTTGCCAAGAAGGTTATGTTTTCAGTAGTCTGTGTGTGTGTGTTTGTGTGTGGTTTAGCAAGATAACTCAAGAAGCAGTGGATGGATTGAAATGAAACTTGGTAGTTGGGTAGGTCTTTATAAGACCTAGAAATGATTAGATTTCGGGCCCCCTGACGGCTTTTCTAGGTACTGCAGCAGAACTTCAAGTTTTGATACCTCGTGATCTGGACATGCTAGGTTCACGAATTTTTGATTGGCAGATAGATCTTGGGATAGGAAAGAAGTGACATGAGTTTGGGTCCCCTAGCGGCTTGTCTGGAACTGCAGAAGCATTTGTTGAAAAAGGAGGATAACTCAAGAACCGGTTGACGGGTTGTAGTGATTTTTGGTATGTAGATAGTTGAAGTGATGCTTGACATAATCAGATGACAATTATGCAAAAAAGGAGCTAATTTGCATAATCAATGAGGGAATTCTTTAAATCTGCTTTGTTCGATAATAGAACTATGAAACACTTCTGACAACTTGAGAACAAGAAAAACATCTGAGGATATAGATTATGTAAATAAGGACCTAATTTGCATAATTAATGGCACATTTTTATAATTTCATAGTTGTAACTGCTGGGAATTTCATACTTGCCACATTTGGAAGTTAAGTGAAGGTGGACATCAATAAACATAATTCATTTAAATCATGACCTCATTTGCATAATTTATAAGGAAGTGCTATAATAGCCTTTTTTGTTAATAAGATAAGGCTGTTATCGGATGGGGAATATGATCAACTGATCAAATAATCCATTCAAATGAGGCTCTTATTTACAAAATTAATGATTGAAATTGTATAATTTGTCAACCGCAAGGGTTAACATCATTTGGCTAAGTATGAGGTCGTGGAACTCTTGTTAGTTTTGTTGACTTTTATACAGTAATTTCATGCCTATTGCCCATTAAACAACCGACGGTACCCCTTTCCTAAACTGCATAAAGGTAAATCGTTCGTTTATATATCATGTTTACACGTGATCAACATGTGTAGAAACTTTTAATGATTCCATCTACTAGTCGTCAGTAAATATATATACAGAGATTGAGAGGTGGAGAGAGAGGTAGCTGGATATTACTTTTAGTGGCCTCGTTTTATTAGTTTTGCTGCCTGTTTAGTTGCTTTCAAATTCCCTAAAACGCACATTTTTTGTTCACCATTTAAAAATCTTGCTGAAGAGCATTTATGGTTGTCTTGTTTTGCTACTAGTATTTAAAAATCACTTTAACCTCCACCCTTTCCGTGTACACTTTATCATATTCACTAGTTTCTATAGAAAACCAATCAGATGGCTGCTATCAGTGACTATTAACCAATTACCTCCTTACTTAGACTTAGTTCCTCCCGTGCAAGGCACATTGGGCAGCAAGTCTTCTCCACTCTGCTCTGTCTTTGGCGAGAGACTCGGCATCCTTCAGTGATACCCCCAGATCTTTTTGGAGGGTACGTCGTCATGTTAGTTTGGGTCTCCCTCTTTTCCGCTTGCCCTCTGGTTTCCAGAACACAGATGTTTTGGCATGTCGGTCTGAGGTCATCCTGAGGACATGTCCAGCATACCTCATCCTCCTCTCGGTGATGGTGATGCTATGTGGTTTTGTACCGGTTCTGTCGTATACTTCCTTGTTGGTAATCCTGTCTCTGTATGTTATGTGTAGAATTTTACGGAGGCATCGTTGTTGGAAGGCATCCAGCTTGTTCCGCATTTTTGTTGTTATCTTCCATGTTTCACATGCATAGAGTGCAGTTGGTATTACTACTGACTGTAGCAGCTTGGTTTTCAGCACTCTGGATATTACCTCCTAGTCGCGGGATAGTCGCACCCTATTTCATGTAAATGTCGTGGATACAAACCCAACCGCAAACACGTCAGAAGCGTATGTTTTTGGTCTGGGCTTTGTGCAGCAGCCGTTGTGTTGGTCTGTATATATTTGAAAATCATATCTCGAGAAGTTGTGAGTTGATCTTTCTGAAATTTTGCCCGTGACTAGCTGTTGCAACTAAACGTTTGCAACGACACTGCAGGTAACGTTTTATGCATTTGTAGATTGTATTGTATTGTACAACATGTGTTCTCAGAATTCTATCTGTCGTTTTGCACTAGAAGTTTGACTTTTTCTTTTACAGTTTTTCTTTTATTAGTTGAAAAGTCTACTTTGAAGAACGAAACATAACAGTTTTACACCTTAAATGATAAATATCCTTATAGAGTGATTGCCACGGAAAGAAACACAGGTCCTAGCTATAGGGAAGCAGGAATTTGTAGAGCAGACACAACATTGTAAGAGCAAATGTAAGAGCTTCTAGACGGTGATTGGTCTCGGATACATAAATGGAGGAAATCCGTCCTCTGTGAGGATTTTTTGTCGATCATTGTTAGGCTCCGAGTTTTGTGTCATTACTGCACTCAAAACACATGCCGCAAACTTAAGTAATATTATGGAATCGTAACGAAAATTCCCTGCGTAATGCTTGCAATTGCACATTTTTGCTACGGTCATCAACTATATCACTGCAGCGCGACTTCTAGTTTTTTGCATTCTTTACCCTTTACATCCTATGGTAATAATCTGGTAAGTAGGAAAAAATTAATGCAATTTTATAGATTTGTAAGCTATAAATAACGATCCACTTTTTGGAAGAAGAAAAACATTGTTAATAAATTTCTTTGGTTCTTCAAGGAAGATTTTATAATTTAATAGAGTAGAATCACGTTTCCAATATCTCGATCCCCGTGGGATATCATCTGTTTTAACGTCTAAATTGAGTAAGCGGTGACCGTATTTTAAAAGCTCCAATTGAGGTATTCACCCTGTCATTTTTAAAAACGAAGTCAAGAAAAACACATCCCTGTAACTGTCTTGATTTTTCCGCCATGTGTAGCGAATCATTTAGGGTTTTTCAATCGCCAAACATCCACTAGGCTAAGTTTGTCAAAACGTTCCAGAATTGTCTGAGTGGCCTGCTGTCTTTACTTACATTAAGTAACATATTGAAATCACCAGTCAGTCCTACCTTATCGTTACAAGTTACCAGGGGAAGACCACATCGTCTGTTTGGTGCGTAGATATTATCAACTTTAAAACTGAACATGTATCAGTAGTGCATCATTATATTTCAGTCCATAACATGGTATGGATGAAATATATTGTGTTCCCTCATGTTTCTCCTCCTCCTCCTTCTCCTGCCAAACAGTCAAAGGGATTCAACTCCGCCATCATTCAGCCAAATGACCTGAAATTTGGCATGGAGGTTGAGTGGGCACATACCCCCAGACTTTTTTTCATTTTTTTAAAAACATGCCTTTGACAAATTTTTATGAAGGTTTTCTGGGGCATTTTTCGACAAAAAATGGATTTTTGGATCCTGAGCCCTGGTATTACAACCAAATGATATGACATTCGGTATAAGGGTAGCTTGAACGTGTGTCTACAGAATAGCAGTCACGTATTTGGCATACACCACTTCCAAATGACTCATTTTGGGGACTTTAATGGCTATTTTCAGCAAAAAAGGGCCAAAAGTGCTGTACCCGTTCCATGTTCTATCTAAAGAATGGCCCGTTCTATCCATGGAACACGTGTTCCACTGTGGGTTGCCTGAGGTCACATTGCACCTAAGTCGTGCGTAATGACCCACACATTCAATTTTATGTGCCTAAGACCTTCAAAATGTATCAAATCTCATCATTGTTAGTATTTGCATACCTGTAATAAGATTAGTAAAGCTTACGAGATTCAAAGTACTTGTTCTTGCATCTTTGTTCTCATATAGCTACTATTTAATTCATTTATTTGAGAACCTTTGCCAGTTTTGCACTGGGGTAAGTTTGGAATAGTCCACTTTTGCGTGGAAGGGAGATGGACTGAAATATGCTGTATTTGCTCCCAAGCAAATGTCGGCCTTTCTAGTTTACATCTGTCTCATTGTAAACAAGGTGTCATGTTATCATTTTGATGTCTTATTAAAAGTCTTCAGAGTTTAATCTACTGTAGGACCTTATGAAAACAACACAAGGCTATAACTTTGGAGGATTAGTTTTCCTTGACAGGTAGGTGATTTTGGGTTAGTTGGTGAAAGCTGGTTGATGTAGTTAGGGAAAACCAGATCAGTATAGGAGGCAGTTCTGTGCTTATTCTTATTCACTGCAATTCTTGTAGGCTCTGTCACAATTCGAAGCTAGTTGCATTTCTCCGCATTTTGTGCGAATCGTTCTCTCAGTGGACATTCTGAATGAAACCAGTCGACATTAAAGTCTTCCATGTTCTTTATCATTCAATCGGTAATGGCTATGTAACAAGGAATTCGCTCTCACTTTGTTCCGTGGGTTCTGTCTCGACTGTTCAGGGCTGGAAATACTGGGTGCATGTGCACCTTAGTGCACCCAAAATTGGATCTGTGCACCCATTTTTTTGTGGGTGCACTGGTGCACCCAAACATTTTTGTAGGTATGTTTGTACATATTGAATGTATAATAGTATACAGGATAATCTTGGCATCTGTAGGAAATATTATAAAACCTTTATTGTAGTACTTGGTTAAGATTTTGAAGTTAGCTCCCATTTTTTATTTAAGCTCAGAAGATATGTGATTAAGTTTTGTTTTATATGGTGCACCCCAAAAAAATTTTCTGCACCCGAAGAAATACAATGGTGTTTCCCCTAGAAATCGCAAGGTGTCAGTTCTTCACAGTAACAAAACAAATACATCCGGGCACCAACACATGTGACCTTTTCTTTCCCGGAACCAAGCCGAGCCAAACGTGTAATTCATCGAGCCTGGCTTGGGTTGGGATGGGGCACTGTATTTCTTTGGGTAGCTAGTATAACTGTAGTCATCTGACCATATAGGTATAATAACTCTCAATTTTTTTACGTCGCCACCCTCTGAAATTCAATGGCGACTTCAAAGTCACGAGATGAAGGTAGTATAACAGCAATAATAGAGTGGCGTTTAAAACACGCCTCGGTGACGTGATTCTCTTTTGATGTGCGATAATGATCATTTTGGTTATTGTTGATGGGGGTGCTTGTTTATTTATGTGGAGCAGTCATAAGGTCCTCACGACGAGGTGGTAATAAACATGCTGTTAACTTGAGAGATAAGGCTATTCTAGCATTTCCCCATAAATTTGCAAATTAGGACCCAATTAAGATAATAAAATGTTTAGTGATGTTCACCTTCACTGAATTTCGAATATGGCAAGTACTAAATTCCTATCAATTTCCTCCATAAAATTGTATAGTTTCCATTAATTATGCAGATCAAAATCTGCCAAAGATCTTGACGTTGATGATGATTGAAGTCTGTTATGGAGCTTTCTGGTATTGATACCAGTGTTTTTAAAGCTCATTCCCATCGTGGTGCCGCTGCGTCTGCAGCTTTGCGAAAGGGTTTGTCTCTGAGTGAGTCACTGCGTTCGGGGACTGAGCCTCGGCCAGAACCTTCCAAACCTTTTATTTCCGACCTGAGATCGAGCCGAATTTAGGTAGGGCACTCACCTCAACCTTGAGTGGCTCAACCTTGTCCGGAAGGACTACAATTTATTGAGCGAGAGATAAATACAATTTAGCTACAAGTTAAAAAATATGTGAGGATTATATCAGAGAATGGACAAGTACGATACTAAGTGACACAGTTACAAGTACAGAAAATTGAAAAAAAAAGTCATCTGTTGTGCTCCAACGGTCGAATAATTAGACTAAGGGATGGGTGACATGGTAGCTACAAGCATTAGTACATAAATGGACGACTGTCTTGAGCAAAGTCAACAAAATTCAAAAGGAAAAAAAACAACATATCAGGTATATAATGTTATTAGAAAAAACATTGTTGGGAATGTATCACTTTAGCTAACAAAATGAGCTAAGTACCTTTAAAACGTGAAAATATATTCAGAAAAAAAACTCTAAAACCGCCTGCCTGCTTTCGATTAACGTTTTTTTTTCGGACAGTTACCAATACGTAATATCATCATACACCTAAAATCATTCATTTTCATCATTAGGGAATCCTCACAATCGTGCTAAGAGGGCCGTCCCACCTGCTGTGGCAGCCTTCGTTGCAGACGCTGCGAAGGATGTAGGCGGGAAGGTGGTGGACAAATTAGGGGACAGGATTGCGGACGCAGTCGTGGAGAACCACCGGGAAAAGGTGGTGTCATCCTTAGAGAATTACTTCTCTGATCAGTTTGATAAGGCTGATGAGAAGTTTGACCAAGTCATGGCAACCGGAGGGGATCTCCTGTCTGGTCTTGGCGGAAATGTTAAACAGGTGAGAAGATAGCATCACATAAAGCATGTCGTGAATATAGAGTTTTTCTGACATGTAACCACGGCATACTCAACCCCGCACATTTTGATTATCATGTTTCTTTAACCTCTACATTGTGAAAACAAAACATATATTTTTTTATTATTTGCCACTGAGTTAACATTCTAGTAAGATTATGCGCACGTGGTTTTAACTTAATAATCATCACTTTCCGGTGATGTCTACACAAAAAACAAATGTGAAATATGTTTTGCATAACGAAAGACGTATGATGCATTGTATTTATTTTGCAATTGTGCGTAGTGATTTGCATTTTGAAATTAAGTGGTGGCATTGCTTCATTCTGACACTCATTATATGGTATTTTAATCAATTGTGCAAATCAGTCCAGTAGTAGATACATGTATCTATCTTTTTTTTCTGAGTTTTCTGAGATGTTTGAATATCTTTTGATGTAACGAAGCAGAATCATGAAACATTATGTATAATATTAATGCAAATTCTGAATCTAATCCAAGTACATCTACGCCACTCTCTACCCATACTAGCGAAATGCTAACGAACATAATCATAGAATCAATACAACCCTGCTGTTTCTAAAGAAACTATTAGTAGTAGAGAACCGTCAGATCTACAAAATACCTGCATGAAGAAAGCTTTCTAAGTTATTATTATATCCATGTTTAGCATTAAAGGGGAAGTCCAATACTTTCAGTTTTGGGGCCTTTCTACCCAAAATCCTATTTGTAACTGGTGATTTATTGGTTTCTGCCAACCCCGCACATATTTGCCGTGATATCTGACCCGATCGATGTTTCGCGGCTAGCGCCAGATTGTCCGCTAGGCGGCGCTGCGACTGAATCTGTGACGTAAAAGGTTTCATTGGAACAGATTTGGAGCGCGCGCCATTTCAGTCTGTCTGCCAGTACATAGCTCGCTGCAAGTATGCCGCGTTGTGCACGTTGTGGCTGTTGGTATGGCCCTGCGTCAAAGGAGCGCGGCGTAAGCTTCCACAAGTTTCCAAAAGACCACGATAGGCTACACAGGTGGTTGGTCAGCATGAGGAACAATATTGTAAATAAACTGACGCCGGAGAAAATCAAGGAGTTAGTACACAAGAAGAGCGTCCACTGGCGGGTGTGTTCAGACAATTTCGAGCCTGGATGCTCGTGGAACTCTAGTTGTCATTGAATTCTGTTGAAATTTTCAGTCTATATGGCAGAAGTACGCATGTAGCTAGCTGTGTTCTTTATTTAAAACAAATAGCACCTCTGATTTCAAAGCCTTACAATTCCAGATGGAACCAAAAATGTGACGACCACTGTACTAGCTGTGAGCACAATTATTATGGGAAAATGTAAATCCGACTAACACATGTGTCTAAGATTAGAACGCATACAGAAATGTACTGTAATTAGCAGACAAAAAGGTGTTGTTTTGACAAGTTGTTATAAACCACAAAACAGGAAAGGTAGTATTCTGCCACCTCAATTCATTTATGTTGGGCGTATGGGCGGTCGATATAAATAAATCCGTCAAAGGGTTGAGTGAATTGCAACGTAAACAAACCGCGGTACCGACCTGTTGGAGACCGGCTCCTGCACGCCCTGCCGGATCAGATCCCACCGAAAAATCTGCAAAGTTCGGAGGTTTGCCGGGTGCAGAATCACATCGAAGTCAGGGTGGTCTCTAATGCATGGGTGGTCTGTACCGACGTTCTTTTCAGTGTCTGTCAGCTCTGGCAGGTCGTGACAACAAACACTCTCCCGTACAGAGGGCATTTCCAGGCAGTTTCTATTGTCTTCGTTTCCACACCGGCACCAGTCCCGGTTCCCCAACCTCCAACGCTCTGTCTCCACATCACCGCCAACCCAAACGTTGTCATCGCCTGGATCGGGCTCAGAGTCGCCACTACTGTCAGTTTGTGGTTCAAATCGGAAGGGTTGCACGCCCGCCATTGTTGTTTACGCTAGTAGCAGAATGAAACCTTTTACGTCACAGATTCAGTCGCAGCGCCGCCTAGCGGACAATCTGGCGCTAGCCGCGAAACATCGATCGGGTCAGATATCACGGCAAATATGTGCGGGGTTGGCAGAAACCAATAAATCACCAGTTACAAATAGGATTTTGGGTAGAAAGGCCCCAAAACTGAAAGTATTGGACTTCCCCTTTAAAGGGTAATCTACAGCAAAACTGCAAAGTCACGCATTACGGATATCTGGTGATACAGTGTTTTTCCATTTGATTGTTAGGATTGTTAGAATATTTTCTGAATCTTATTTCAGGCCAGGGTTAAAATGATCCACGGAAGAGGAACAAACACGGGGGATACATTCTCACCGGCTGGATATGAACTTCGCTTTGATGTTGAGAGGAGCGAAGGGTTTGACAGTCTTAATTTACTTTCAATATGGAGGTGAAATGCATAATGAATGATAGAATCTAGAATGTTGATTTTTTAAAGGATATCACTTAAACATTAAAAGTCTGTAATCTGAGATGAGAAAGATATAGATTAAGATTTATTATGCTTACTAGGAAAGATCGGGACAAATATAACATATTATTTAGTTATGATGATATTGAGTGAAAAAATGAAATTGTCTGATTTTGTTATGAATGAAATAAATATGTGTGTGTGTGTGTGTAGTCGGTATTCCTTGATTAGGCGGTAGAGCAGCTGTGGTATCTTTGATATGTTCCTCTTGCAATAACAGCTAATATCTAACAACGTCAGATACGAACTGTGCGTTTAATGGTCAACACCATAGCCACACCTCACACACCATACTAATGCTTTACGGAGTTGTTGCAAAAATTTATATCGACTGATACTTGAAATATAATTAATGCCGTTTGTAATTTGCTATGTTACTGGTCTGAAATAGGCATGGCAGTGGTAACGATGACAGTACTGATGGCATGTCGCCAGCATTGTATCCCAGCGGAGTTGGACCGCTATTGATGAACGCCTGCTTTGGTACCAACTATGCACCAGGAGACCCGTGTTACGAGGGATTCGTGCCTATAGAAGCGTGTGCTGTACGTACGACCTATTCGGTTCTTATCAGTTGTTCAAAACGAAAAGTTTTGATGTGGTAGGGCATTCTGAAAAATTACTCTGCACTTACGCTGTTTATCTTTAAAAATTAGCTTATCCAGAACAAACCGCTCAAGTGTTTACGTACTTTTTGGAATAAGGAAGGGTGATGTTAAATGTCCAAGTCACTGTTGTTTTTCAGTTAAGAAGCCCCTTAATGTGGATAAATGTAAAATTGCTTACAACTTCTTGTCAGCATTAACCAGGCTATTTCTTCTAAATATGTAATTGCTTCGCTAATGTATAAACAATTTAATACCAATTATGTTAGTTGTTAAAACGCGTTTAACCCTCAAACACCCGAACGGGGTCCATTTGGACCCCAGACGTATATTTTTATGTGCTATTTGAATTCTTTTTAATTCAAAAAAAATTCCTCCCGTGACTTTGTCAGTAAACCTCTTCTACAAGTTCTCCTAAATTTTTTTGGAGATCGGCACAAATTTGTGAAAATAACAACAGAAGTCTGATGTAAGACCGTCTGGGGTCCAAATGGACCCCAGCCATGTATTTGCACTTTCTTACACACGAAATTGCTCGGATGTCCTCAATATGTCTTTAAGGAAGCATTATTATTGCTTTAATATTATGCAGTTTGCCAAGTAACCTCAACCTCAGGAATTATTTCATCTGGTTTTCAGAGGTTTGACAATTTTACAATCATATGAGGTCAAAGGTCAACCCCATGTTTATGCCTATAGGCCTCATCCTTTTTTTGCATAAATTATGATAATGAGCTGGAATTTTTAAACACTTAATTAAGCCAAAATAAACGTCTTAATATGTTTAACCAATATATGTGCAAAGGTCACTGAAAGGATGCAAAAAGGAATATAAATTTGAAAGAAACCAAATGGGGTCCATTTGGACCCCGTTCGGGCATTAACGTCACAAAAAAAGTTCGGGTGTTTGAGGGTTAAAGACAATCTTACGGCTCGGTAGCTAAATCAGATGTTCTACGTGTCATTCGTAGAATATCATAGACGGGGCAACGGTCGTAGGTGTTGGGTTTGACGGCCACGGCGAATATTCTACGGACTCCAGGAAGAAGAGCCTCATTCAGCGCTCTTGTCAAGGTTTACAGGGGTAGGAACTTTTCTTTTTTAATTTGCGTACATTATCAAAATGAACAAGCGCGCATGATCAACTCAAAGACGTTACGATATTAAAAAAAAAGATCTGCGTGCTTTTGAAATCGTTCTAGAATCTTGAGCCAACTGTCCTTAATTGATCCAAGTTATTATTACGATGTTTGTTAAAAGTTAGAGAACAAGTTAACAAAATTGTATTTCAGGGAATATAAATTACATACATAATACAGTTAGTCTCACCTCTCCACATGAAATCCTTAATGGATTAAGTTTATTTGTAGAAATTTGTATTTACATGCTATCAGGACAATGTGATACTTTTCTTGTAGATTGTTTATGATACGCCACCTAATATGTTACCGTTATATTTTGTCATGCCCTGTTCGCAGAACGAGCCATTTGTAATAGCCACTGGCTAGCTGGGCTGCCCTGGCTGTGAGGGTGTAATAGCCAAACAATAAATAAATGATAAAAATTAGAATGCTAACAGGTTTCTGGTTAACGGTAAATTACAGAAATCGTCCTCACAAAAGTAATTAAACATTAATTAAACTGTAATTGACTTGCATCAATTCTCCTGTTCCTTGACTGACTGCATCTGGCATATGATGATAATGATGATCGACTAATGGCCAATGCCCTCCCAGGCTGACCCCCTTTGTCTCTTTTGTAACATATGTCTGTAAATTATAATTAGAATGCATAATTTCTAATAGAGTGGACAAATATCATATTGGCATGTGGGGAAAGCTACACCGGCCTCCATTTCTGTTCCTAAAAGGTTTGATGTACGGTGTTGTAATGTTGTTGAGACTTTTGAAAATTTCATAAGACTTTTGTTTCTGACAACAATTTATTATTTACTACGCATCGTTTAAGTCATTATGTTCAAACTGTTATGAATTATGATTATTGAACGGGCTGAAAACATTTATTTCCGTAATTTCTATGAGTTTTTATCTGTTAATACAGCAATTATGTATCACATATTTATTTTGTTTACAACGCCTGTGCCATTCATGTCTGTATTTTCTTTTTGTTTTGAAAATTAAAGAAAAAGAACGTAGGGAAAAAGAGGAACGGTGGATTTTCATGATTGTCATTCGGGTAGCGTAGACACAGAGATGCACGGAATTATAGGCAAATTAAGCAAATTACGACTGAATCTGTATAATCAATGTAAAAATAATAATAATTCTTACAAACATGTTTTTAAAAGTTGTACACAATAGGATAAAAATGCGATATATGTAATCTACTGTAATCTAAGTGGATTGTTGACAGCTTGACATTGTAGAAATAATTACTAATATGTATTTGTTCGTTTATTGAAATCCGAAAGTACATATCAGCGTACATTGTTCGAAATCCGAAAGTACATAGCAGCGTTGTTGTGATGATTATTTACCTACAAAATTGATAATAAAATTTTGAAACAACACATTGCCAAAAAAGCGAACTTCCACATATGAAATATATTTAAGGCCACACCGACTTAATTTTATGGATGACATCCGCGCGCACAATTGATTTTCGCCTGTTCTAAAAAAAGATCGCGTCCTCGGAGGCTCTGGCCTGGCTCTAGGCCTCAGGTACTCCATGGTAGTTAGCGACAATACGGAGCCGGTGGTGACTATGGAGGACGGAACCCAAGCTGCCGAAGCTCCAAGACTCAAGAACTCAGTACATACGTACAGTGTCAATTCATAAATTCCGCAAAAAGCCAGCCTGTACCGGCTTGTCGTGTACGTCGCTATGTACTGCAGCAAACTCACAATACCGGCTTTGTAATCCTGTGCTTGAGCAGCATTTTTGGTGACGCCTCAGGGGCAGATACATTTTCACAGTACTACGATCGATTCAAAAATTGCACTTAAGCAGTCCCTAGGGAATTGGTTTTGAGGTAACTTCAGCCATGTAGTCTTCGAAACAAGCAGGAAAGGCTTTTGTTGATTTGCTTGTGAAAGGCACCATTTTGGGCAAATGGTGGCTTTTGGAGAATTACAGTCTTTGTTTATATTTCAGATATGTTTATTTTCTACTAAGATATATCATATAGAACATTTTGCTTTATGTGAAAGAACTATGTTTCAAATATTAACTAATGTCAAAGTGTAATCACCTGCGAACACCTATATATACATGTATATTGAGTCGTGCAGAATCAAATCTGAAATGTCGAAAGACTCAGTTTTATAAGGTTTGCCTTCCAATCTACAACAAATTCCATGTATGTACAAAACAAGAAAGGCCGGGACTCTCCACCTGGACGTTAACGAGGGTGAGTCTGTTGCATGAGGTATGTTTTGTGATGTGATTGATGTGTTAAATGGACTCTAAAAGCACTAGGGAAAACGTTCAGAACAGAAAAGCAAGAAGAGTGGAGAAAACTGGTGATCAGGTCGTCTGGTGCTCCAAGAGTCAAATGACTAGACAAAGGATACATGAGACAATAAGAGAAGAGATCATTTGGTGATGTTAAGTGATGTGATTTACTCAGGAATGTCAATAGGATAAATTTGTACTCTTTTGTATTTTTGCACTTCGATGCTTCGTCTGGCATGTTTTGGCAAGCTACGTTTGCCGGTTCGAATCCCGCTGTCAGCATTATTTTAATTTTCTTTTTAATAAGTCCGAAATGCCAGTTTTTGTAAAAGCTCCCCCTGTCCTCATTTAGTTTGTTTTTCTGAGGCCGGCCCAGCTTTTTAAAAAGCTTTACTTGTTTATTGCCTGTCTTGTGAATTTTTGTTCAGAATTTAGTTTTTTATTCTCCAGCGCGCAATAGTGTGGGCATCTTCGGGGAATGCCATCCATAAAATTCAGACAGTGTGGCCTAATTCGAGTTAAAACACCACATACAAAGTAGATTATGCTACATGCAACCATATTTTATAATCAATAAGAGACCATGGCGGTAGAAACTTTTACCTACATGATAAGACCAAAAATACCAAAGGATCTATTATGTAATGCCAAATTTTTTACTTGGGTTCTCGGGTAAATCTGGAAATATGCTTTCTTTTTAAGCTTTGGCTGTGGTATATCATTTCAGATACAAGGAGTACCATGTGCCTGACATTATGACCGTGCAAGGAATATACGACACCGATGTAGCAACCTACTCATTTAGCTCTGTGGACGAATACAGACATTACCTTGAGGACAAATCTGCTGTGACATCTCAAACTGGCATGTTTCAAAAAGAAATGACAAAGGTTCAAGGTCATTTGGCTGTTAGTGGCTTTGCTGGAATGGGTTGGTCAGCAGGAGGAGGCGGCTCAACCCAGGAAGGTCGTGCCGAACAAACCGAGGAATTGAATGCTAGGTCTCAAGCAAGTGCCCGACTTACCGAAAGCACAAGCAGAACATTTATGGCTATGATGGAGCTAAACGTTTTTAGGTCAGAGCTTAGTTAATAAACACACACACACACGCGCACACACAAACTCGCACACACAGATACAAGCACACACGGTCACACAAACACAGATGCAAGCACACTCACAGTCACACACACAGTCACACAAACACAGATACAAGCAAACTCACAGTCGCACACACAGTCCCACAAACACAGATACAAGCACACACAGTCACACACAAACACAAATGCAAGCACACTCACAGTCACACACACAGTCACACACAGATACAAGCACACGCAGTCACACAAACACAGATAAAAGCACACACAAACACAGATACAAGCACACTCACAGTCACACACACAGTCACACAAACACAGATACAAGCACAGACACAGTCACGCACACACTCACACGAACACAAAATAACACACATACACACACACACACACAAGCACACAGACACTACACACACAGAGAGAGACACAGAGAGAAAAAAAAAGAGAGAGAGAGAGAGAGAGAGAGAGAGAGAGAGAATGCAACCACACTCACACATACAGGCACAAACACACCAACTCATTTTGATTGTTAATTCATAAACGACCGCCAGGCCGAACTAACGTAAGTTGACCGCCAAAAAGTGCCAACATTATTCATCTGTTTGTTGTGTACGAAACTAACATGGTAAATGAACTCCGATAGACTGCACACATCCATCGCAACTAATTTGATTCTTTATTAAAAGAAACATTCTGTGTAAAGGCGTCTCAGTATTCAGTGGAGCCTGCGCGCTGTTACCACAACACGGCATCTCCTCCTCATGCTTGTCACTAATCGTACAATGCGATCCTGCAGTCGTCGTAGGTCAGCCAGTGTAAATCTCTCGGTCATTCTTACGTAGAAACCTCGCCTAAGCTTACCGCATGGGTGTTTTAAGGATTTCAGGTCTGGACTTTAAACGCCACTGTATCCTCCTAACACCTGGAAGGTGGGGATGGTCTGCGATGATCCTTGCTATGTGTGGGCGCGGGTTTTGACTTCTTGTAACATGGCATCAGGTCCCTTATTTATATTATGTAGGGAAGGGATGCCACTGGGTCAACTATGTCGTCCCTCTATCTCGCCGCGTTCATCTTACCTGAGATGATGTCAAACCTTGTTTTGTTTCCTGCCAGTTATACCGCCTCACACCATTTGACTGCCTTCACTGTCAAAGAGCTCTCCTTCCCGCCTCCATACCTAAAGTTCGGCCATCCAACTGCAGACGTTTGCACCTGCTCAAGTCCGAAAGCATTGCATTCCTCCACTCAGGATTTTAATCACGATGTTGATGATAACACCGTCACAGTCTTTTCCTAATGGTTTGACACGAAAGTCGTCTTCTGTAATGATCCGAGAACCTTGTCTGCAGACGTGTTGAAGACACCTGTATTCCTCGTCAAATTTTGTAGCCCAGGGACCTTCACTGCGCAGCCTGTCTTTCTCATCACCAGTTGCACGGAACTTAGCTAAAAGTTTGGACATGGTATATTGGAGCACTCTACGTGCGCCGGCTTTAACTTGCCCTATAGCCGCATGATGAAGCTCATTCACGTAAAACAAACGTGGCATGGCAGTGTTTAGTGTAGAATAAGAAACGTATTCAAACGTCAAGGGGTTACTGTTTGAATTCCTACCTGCATGACACATTGGACGCCGGTTGTCCTAAAAATAATGTATGGTGTACCAAAAGTACCAAAATGACCCTAAAATTTGAAGAAACAATCGGTTTGCACTTACAACTATACCAGCAGGACGACACTGCGGGGAACATTGAGCACTTTTTTTCGGTGATCCCGACTTACGTTAGTAGGCCTGGGGCTCTTTTACAGTTACATGTACAATAGTAGTAGAGTAGGGTATCATTGGAAGGAAAATTAAACAAGCTTTCTAATTATGGAGAGAATTAAGGAGAAATATTATCGAACAAAGTTGAATATTTAAATTTTTTTTGTCAAATTTTGTATTAATTAAATATATTCAGAGCGTATGGAAATGCAAAGCGTTAATCGTATCCTCTCTAGGTATGAAATTTTTCTGGACTTCGTTACTCCTGAAGATTTGAACTTAGCATTTCTGCGTGATTTCCTGGGTCTACCTGAAACGTATTCTGGACTAGGAGGAGAATTCCGTAAGTAATATACTTTTTTTAATCCACCTCTAAAATTAGGAATTTTATCAGCAAAATGCAGGATTTCGCCACTAGACTTATATTTATGAGGTGACATAATGAATATAGCTCTGGATAAGTTAGGTCTATCCCATGTAATCTATAGACATATCCCCATGTATATTAATGTATATGATTGTTACCTGTGTTGTGCATAAATGTGGTACATAAATGTGCAATAAAGCTAGTAAGCCATTCATTAAAAGCTCTTTCGTAGCAACGCGTCTGGGTCGCTCATTTGCGTCATTTAATCTCTTGGCTCACTGACTCGCATGACCTGAAAAATGAAAAAAAAAACTCTGCATATTCTGTCTAACACCTTGATGTATTTATCCTGTCAGTTAAGTTTATTCTACGTTGGGGTACGCATTACACTACCGCAGCCAAGTTTGGAGGACAACTTAAAATCATCAAAACCAAGGAAGCAAGCGAGGAAGCCTCACGGGAGCACTTTGCCCAGGCAGCACAGTCTGACTTCAAGAAAGTTTTCAGCACCTACTCGGCACAGCAAACCCAGACCAAGTCCAGCAGTTTTTGGCACGATCATGAGAAAAAGACAGATAACAGCGAGGAAAGGGCGCAAGCAAATAGAGTAACTTCGTCATCTGAATCCCAAAGTGAAGAAGGGACTCTGTGAGTTTTATGTTTACATACAGGAATTACATACAAATACTCCTACATGTGTTTTAAATGATTTTTAAGTACACTTTGTTTACCAAAATCAGTGTCTCTGGCTTCCTTTGTCACTTTTGTAAAGTGTTTCAGCAAATTTCAATGTATAACTTATAATAGAGCAGAGAAACATTACCATGAATTAGCTTCTAGCTTCACGTCAATGCGAAACATTTAGACCATTAAAGATGTACGATGCGGCAAAAATGCTTGAGCGTGAAGTATGGAACTACCAAGCCAACGTGTTTGCTATTAAGATAAGAAATAAAAAGCCATTGTATTATTCTGCCATGATCATACAGAAATTTATTACAAACGTTTCAAGATAATAGGGGAAATTTCGGGCCAAAAAGTTCTCCCAAGTACCTACCTACCGCTATTGACTTGTTTTAACCGTGCACCGTAACCCTGGTCACGATTCTAATGGTGCTGATAGCTTTATTACATTTTAGGCAGCGTTTCCTGTGTGCTTCCCGCTAATCACAAAGATAACTAGTACTCATGGGGGGTTAGGAGTAATCAGTTTAGTATTTGATGTGCTAACCCTATTCAGACCGGGCTTTTTGAGCATGCTCAGACGG